GTTTGAGAAATTACAGATTGCTGTGAGTTGCAGGATCTAATCTCGTTGATGTAAAAGCAAAAAAAATGGATAAATAAATTCGTGAAATATATATATACATATATATATATATATATATTGGTATATTTTAATTTGAGATAAATATGAGCAGGATGATAAGAATTGGAAGATGACAGTTGTGAGATAGTAGTAAAGGTGCCAGGTATGTCATAAGACAAAATCAGTTGGGATATGTAAATATACTATCTGGCAAAGGAAATTAAGATTAAAATTTTTTTCCTTGAAGTATGAGCAAATGTGAAATGTCTTGTCAAAATGAAGGAAGCAATAAATAAATAATATATATATATATATATATATATATATATATATATATATATGCACACATTTTTTCAAGCAGATAAGCAAGAAGAACGAATGAGTCTGTGTAGAACATATATAAGCGAATGATTGAACAGCTGAGTTCGGCCATTGATTTATATGCAGAGCGAGCAAATGTAAATGATTTGACTAAGGCAAAACGAAATAAATGATGCAAAAGAAAATCAGTTGGTAAAGTTACTCTTTGGAGACCACATCAACAGAGAGCAAGCAGGTAATTAATCACGTTGATTTGAAAGCAGGGCAAAGAAATAAGTAAACGAGTTGGGGAAGATATCACCGGTTTAAAGCAGTAGTGTGTCTGTAGAGGAGTTTTCCATGTCGGTGACTGCAAATTTGTAGTACAAAATAGCATATCTATAGAGGGCTTCTGAGCTCTTCCATATCCACAAAGAGCTCTTCTCACGATTTATACAAAAATACCTCCCCAGTGAAGTCGCCAAATGTAGGTACTTGATTTTCAGGTGGGTTTCAGATCATCACAAAGTAACAAATGGTGAGGTAAATATTGCAACATGATGGAATCCAAGGTGGATTGAGAGAGCTGGAAGCCCAGGCAAACAAGAAAGAGAGAGAGAGATGGCAGTGTATATGTGTGAACACCATTGACTCCTTGATCCATCCTTTAGGGGTTGTGTAGAGAACCCATTCTGAGAGAGAGAGAGAGAGAGAGAGAGAGAGAGAGCTTAGAGCTCTCGGTCTAGGAGGAATTTTCCTTCCTTTTTTGTCTGCCCCCTTTTCTTGGCCTTAAGTCATTTCCTTTTATAGGCCAAGTAAGGGTAGGTGATGTCATTGATGACATCACATGTGGGTCCATTGACAAAATATTTAAAAGAGATTAATATCTCAAATAATTATAAAGCCATGTTAAATAAGATGGTGTCAAATGCTCGGGAGTCAAAATGGTATCTCTCTCTGCAAGTCAGGCCGAGTGTCGACTCGGCGAACCCTGGACACAGCCACCAAACCAAAACCTCCTCAGATCCCAAGGAATCCTGAGTCCTGCTCCCAACTTAGGTCTTCGTTCTTCTATTCAAAGCATGTTGATGCCATGACAACTTTGACCGTTGACTAGATTATGTGGGCCATCGCTACTGATGTGGTGTAGCTCGTTGACCGTTTTGACCAAGCTGTGTGAGCCATTGCTGATGATGTGGCGTTTACCATGTGGACTCGAAATATAGATATCAACAGTCTTATAAGTCAGATTTTGTTTATTTGCCTTCTTTTCTTTTCATCAATTTTGTTCCACACAAAATATGTTTAAAATTTGCAAGGGTTTGCTACAGAGACAAGATGGATTGCAACGTAGAAGCATGTGCAGAGTGCACCCATAATTGTCTATTGATTCATGGGAAGAAGAAGGGCCTGTCACCCACCATTACCTCATTTATTAAACTCATGATTGGCGATGATTTTTCTAAAGCTATTGCTGAAATATGTGGCTCAATTTCTGCCAACTCACCATGTAATTTGCTCACCCATGTCATCATCAAGTCTCATCACCCACGACATCATCTTCTTGGCCTCCAAGTATATGTGTTCAACAAGCTTTTTTCTTGGTCTCCAAGTCCAGCCTATGCATGCGTGGTCACTAAGTCCAAGAACAGTGATGACATTTTGGCTATAAATAGCCTTGATCTCTATAGTTCAATCATCCAACAATTGAAAGTGTTTACTCAATATAGAAAGTGAAAGTGTGAGAGAGTTTTGGGTGTGAGCCACTTAAGCATTGTATCTCTTTATTTCTGTAGTGAAATATTGTTCTGTCTTCTCCCCGTGGACGTAGGCATAGTCGAACCACGTAAATCCTTATCTCGTTTGTGTGTATGCCATTTTAATTTTCTTGTCATTAATTTTCTCTTTTGTTCTCAAAACTCCTATTCGATTTTTTTTTTTCATAACAACTATATTATAACTTCACATCTTTTTTTCTCTCTCTCTCTCTCTCTCTCTCTCTCTCTCTCTCTTAGTTAATTTAATTAATGTGTTGCTTTATATGATTTTAATGTTGCTTCTCTGTTATTTTTTTCCTCTTACTTATTACACATTGATTCACCAATTTCTACTTTCTCTGTACATATCCACTATTTGTTTGATCTTACACTTCTTTTAACAGTCTCTTTTTATTATGTTTTTTGCTTGTTAAATTTATATCTCAAAGTACATGTTTGTCTACTTTTGACCTTTGGTATTGATTTTTATTTTACTATTTATTGCATAATCTAATGCCTTTCAATGTTTAATTTTGAATTTGTTTTATTTTTCGTTAAATGGTGGGTCTGCCTTTCATAATTGCCATTTTTATAGGAAAGATGGTATTTTGTGTGTTGCACATGCTTATTTGCGCATGGAAATCAGTATTGGATTTGATCATTATTTAGCTTGATTTGTTGTCTGCTAAAATCTGTGGCACAGTGAACAATCTTGTTGTAAGATTGAGACCACAACTGGTTTTGCTGCATCATATTATGTGAATTTGTTGTATCAACAATTGTGGTTGGACAAGTTTGAATTTGTGGTATCGAGATACTATTAACTACTGGATGTTGCGTGCCATTAAGTAAAGCATGTTGCGATGAACACTTTGAATTACTAAACAGAATCTAACGTTGGTATTGTATCCAGTTAAATTTATTTTTCAACCTTTTTTATGCAAGTTTTGAATATATTATTGAAAGAAGGAAATAGTTGAGGACGAGAGGGGGGAGGAAACAGTTCTGAACTGGCTTGAACTTTCTTTCTGTCAAAGATTCTTGGTGTGCCATGCATATGTTGTGTTTTCTCTGTCTTTTCATAGTAGATAGATGGGTCCTATGAACTCTGTGGGAGTTTTCTGGTTACCATATACGAATAATTGAAATAGTAGAAATCAAATGTACTGTGATAGTAGAGGAGTTTTCTGGTTGTGATTTACGAATAATTGATCACTAATTATTAGCAAAGTCAAATTACACTAGCCAAATGAAATAGTGGAAATCAAATGAATGCCCATTCAGTCTGTGAAGTTGCAATTTATAAAGATGTTACTACATTTGTTTGACACGGAGTTTTATTCCAGTTAAAACTAAGGACTTGTTTATCTGAGAAGCTAAGTGGATTGATTATTAATTATTTTATGGGTTAAATACAGTAACCTTCTGTGAGGTTTTTCCAATTACACGTGGATGAAACTTTTGAAAAATCTTGCAATTACCTCCCCTCTAATGAATAGTGGCTTAATGATGTTAACTTTTTGGGTGATTTTAGCTTTTATACATCGTGTAGTGGCAACTTTGTCCACACTTATAAAAGCAACACTTGGTTTTCTGTTCACACTCTACCCCCAACGATTTCAACCTCCTCCTGCCGTCGCCACCACCACAACCATCTCTCTCTTCTTTCTCTCCTCAAAGAAAACTAGTTTCCGACTCCCATTTTTTCTTAGGTTTGAACAACAAAATGGGATCCTGATGTAATTGAATACTAAGAAACCTCCAACTTCCCGATCATGATCCAATGAGAAAGCATGCCATCCCTGCTGGAACACAATGGAGCCGCTAATATTGGATATTTGTCACTATCCACCATCGCCCAATTTATCCTCAAGATGAGTTTTCTGACCAACCAATTCTGATTTTCAAATCCCAGTTCATAATTTAACCCAACCATCTCTCTCTCCTCTCTCCACTCCCTCTCTCTCCTTTCCACCTCATCCCACCATACTCAACATCTTTGTCCGTCCCTCCAATGAGAAATTTCTGAATTACAGCTCATTTCGGCCGACCCACGAATAGTAGAAACTCGCTCGGAATAACGCTGACTGAACAACAAGTTAACAACAGGTGCATCACATTCCGGTAATTCATGGTCCAAGTTTTGATTTTCGAAACCCAGTTCATAGTTTTAATAATGTCTAGAGTTTTCTTCTTTTTTTTTTTTTTGTTTTTTTGAAAGGTCATGTCAAAAATTTTCAATATAACTCAGATATTGATTGTGTAAAACTTAATAATTTTAGTTCTAATTATGGGGTTGTTCAAGATGTAGCTGAGTCTGATTCCATGAATGAATTGAAATTATAAAATTTGGGTGAATCTGTTCTATGGAACAAATTTGAAGGTTGGGTTGATCAGTATGAGAAGGATTTAGAGTATTGTGGCATTGGGTTTTGACCTATATTTAGTAAATTTTGATTCAGATGGTAATGTCAAAAAGGCTGTTGTTAATGAGGAAGAAATCTTGAGAAGTGGAATTGAGCATTCGTTGTATAACCAGAGTGAATTTGAGGACTTAACAGAAGTGAAATCAGAGATCTCTCATGCAAAAATTTTAGCTAGAGAAATAGAGAGTGGGGGTTGCATGTTTCAAAGAATGAAGTTTTTGGGTAATGAAATTAGATGATAAATTGGCATCATGTGTATATTCTAGTACTTGGGCTACAAAATCTATGAATTTCTATAATAAAGTTCGGGAAATCAGAGCAATGGCAAGGTATGCACGTGAGATCCTTTTCCAAGTGACAACAATGAAGATGATCTGACTGTGTGGCCTAGGAAAAAAATTGTCTAACTGTGTATGTAAATATGGGTTTATATATCTTGTTCACTTCAGTTCAGTAATTCATTGTTCTTGTTCAAATCGGGTTTAGGTGCATGGCTTACCAAGAACAATTATATATATGGTAATAAAGTCATTTCAGATGAAGGGATGGGCATTTTGGTCAGACTATGCAATGTTTTGGACAGGGGGAGGTATTTGTAATAATGAGCCAAAGTTGAGGGGAACATGGTGCAAATTTTTTTAAAAAGTTTCATCCATGTGTTATTAGGGTGGTCACGGTCAGTGTATTTAACCCTTTTTTATTTGGACTAAAAGTATATTCTTTTCCTTCAACACAGTTGCGCTTGTTTAGTTGGGTTTTTCTGTTGACTGCATCAATGTTAAATAACAGTATCCAAGATTAATGGCTCCATTGCCTCAGAAGGGATGGCATGGTTTCTCATTGGACCATGATCTGGAAGTTGGGGATTTCTTAGTATTTAATTACATCGAAGGATCCCATTTTGTTGTTCAAATATTTGGGAAAACTGGGTGTCAGAAACCAGTGTTCTCTGAAAAGAGCCATGGACGTAATGGTCCGGCGGCTGAAGCAATTGATAATGGTGCGGCTGAAGCAGTTGGAAGGCTCTGAAACATCTCACTTTGCAATGAATTCAAGAAAATGATGATTCTGTGAGAATGGATAAAATGATATTCATGTCTAGAAAAGATTCTGGCAGTGGAAATACCTCTGGGCATCTCCTGGACACATCTGCTGCAGAAGCTGCAAGAAATAGAAACAGCCATGCTGAGATATCGAATATGGTTATAAAAGAATGCCAGAATGCAAAGAAAAAGAGAGTTGCACGATCAAGTTAGTTACTTTATTAATTATGTGTGATCTTAGAAGTCCTATGTACATATATATATTTTTTGTTTTATCATTTCCTGTATCATCATTATATATAGATATATATATATTTTCCCTCACATTAAAAATGCTGAACCATTAGCAGGCAGTCATGGAGTGTTTCAGAAGGAAGGTAGTCCGAGTGTCCTGCAGAAATATACTGGATCTTCAGAGTTCTGTGACCTTCCAGTCTCTATTGCAATGCAGAATTGTCAATTTGGTTTGTGTTCCGTCCTTGTTACCAATTTGCATGGTGGTTTGTTGGAGCAGGATTCTGTTGTTTCAAAAGCTTCAAATTTTATTTCATAAATATTGTATTTGATCTTTATCCAATAAATACGAATTAATAGCTATATTAAACAGGTGAACGGATGCAAGTGGTTGAAAAAGAGAGAGAAATGTGCAGTCATGAGGAGACGAGACATGGTATTATTTTGCTTTTACTTCTTTTATTTTGTTTAGCACACCTTAGGTTTTCCATCTCAGTATCAAATACTTGAATGAAATACAAGAAGGCAACCAAAGGTCATCAATGAGTGCGGGCAAGGTTCAAGTTCGGCTATAAACGATAATAATAAAGGAGACAAAGTGGTGAAAACTGAACCTCTTGATTTGATTGTTTTTTCCTCACTGGATGCCACCAGTTCGGTGGTGGGAGATGGTCAATCATTTCTTGTATGTTACTCATTAACTCATTCTGCTCAATGTGTTTGCCTTTGTGCTCTGTTTTTCTTGCAATTTTTTTTTTTCTTTTTCTATAATCAAAACTAAATAGCTGAGTCAAGAATAGGTTTACAGCACAAATTCATTCTCTGCTGGCATATTATTTTTTTTTATTTTTCTTTTTTTAATCATATCATTTGTTAATAATTGTTCTATGAGTTATGTTGTTCCCTTATTTATTTTATTTGTGAGGAATAATCTGTCTTAATTCAATCCTTGTATGTTGATTACCTTTATTTTCTTGAACAAGAACGGTAAAGAAGTTAGTCTAAGATTGTAGGCTTAGATTGAAAACCTTGGATTAGAGGAACATTGACAGGTAAAGGGATGAAGTTAGTCGACGCTACCACTAGAAGAAAGTTCATGTAGCTTGTTTACGCAAGACTAAGTAGGTATGAGAGAAAGAGAATTGAAAATACATGATATAAACTTTATTGCATTGGAAAAGATAGAGAAAATGGTTTAGGGATAGTTCTAGATAAGAATTTAAAAGACAATGTTAGAATTATTAAAACAAGAATATAATGATATTTGTAAAAAATATTGAAGCACAATTTTTTTTATGAGTATATTAAATCAGAATTTTGGGAACATATAGATGAATTAATTCATAAAATACTTGAAAGAGAGAAATTATTTATTAGGTGAGACTTTACTGGTCATGTGGGAAAAAATCTTGGAGTATATGAAATAATACATAGGATAAAATCATATACTTTTCTAAGTAGAAAAGTACCTGCAAAGATTGTAATAGCACTCTAGACGAGAGTTTGACATCACTACATTGGTTGAAGGTCTTGCCCGTGTATTAAAGGAATATCAATGAAGCGAATAGGATATTAAAAGAAATGACATGGAATTTAGAATGTGAAACTAAATCATTGTTAAATAAGATGGCTGAAAGTATTACAGAATAGAAATTCCATAATTGCTAGATCAGACACAAAAGCCTTAGCTGACTGTCTCATCCTCTTTTTGCAACAGATTTTCCAACCCATACGATCGATGAACAAGGACATTGGGGATAATCATAAAACAAAACGTGAGTATTGTAAATTTTGGCCAAAATTTAGAAATGGAGAAACTTTTGCAAAATACAGATATGTATAGATAATAGGTTAAATAGTTGTGAGAGGAGCTATGTGTAGAGTGTTGGATGATATTTACTATAATCTAGGTATAAAGGGCAACAAGAAGGAAACATACAAACTTGTTAAGGGAGAGGATAGATAGATAGATAGATAGATAGATAGATAGATAGATAGATAGAGATTGTATCATTATCAAGTGCATCAAAATTGAGGGTCTAAAGGTTTTAGTCAAAGATGATACTGCTAGGATTGGTGTCTCAAATTCTCTCAATAATTAGGTTTTCTTTTTTGAGTCGTATTATGTATGGTACTATGGTAATTTCCTGTAAGGCAAGTCTTGGCCTCTAAGGAAATTTCTTTTTGGGCAAGTTTTGGTCTCTAAGGAAATTTAATCATTGGCCACTAAAAAATTTCTTTTTGGGTTTCTCTATTATAGAGATTAGAGACCTAGATTATTGTTGTGAGGAATTCAAAGGGAGAATTGAGTTGAGAGAGAAGAATAGTGCGTGTAGTAATCTTCATATTTGAAAAGAGAGGAGGAAGTCATTATTAGTAAAATATTTTATGTTGCAAGTTGATTGTTTGTTTTGTGATTTGATTTCCATGCTTGGAATGTGATTTGCTTCCGCTATGCCGAACGAAGGGGATTCAATTCCTGGGTTCTTAGAGACATAATATGATGGACTTTCGAAAAGAAAGAAGTTACTAATAGATATATTGATGTTCTAAAGACAGGACTGATGAGACAACGGCCATAATTAGAACAGTTAAAGGGAAAACAAGTGCATTCCCCATTATTATAGGTCTACATTCAAGGATCGACATTAAGATCATATCTTTTTGCCTTAGTTATGGATGAACTAATAAAACAAATTTAAGATGAGGTTTTCATGTATTTTGCTATTTGCTGATGATATTAGTGAAAAGTGGTAAATTAGAGGTTTGGAGAGAAGTTCTAGAATCAAGAGGTTTTGAGATACTTAAGACTAAAACTGACTACATGGAACATAACTATAGTAAAACTAGCAATAAAAGTAGGGATGTAGTCTAGGGAGTCAAGAGGTACCAAAAAGCAAACATTGTTTCACCTAGGCTCAACTATACACGGGGGGAAAATTGAAGATGATATTCCTTATAGGATAAAGCTAGATGGATGAAATGGAGTAGTGCTCCTATATCGGGTAGCATATGTCTTCTTTTGAAGTTACGGCTTTAGATTGAGCATAATGACGAAAAAACTCTGCCAATGATAATTGGTCACAGAGGTTCTGCAAATAAATAAATAATAATAATAATAATAAATCTGTTTTACTATGTTAAGATAAGATGAATTACAACTTAAAAGGAACCAAACACCTATTCCTTCTACCTATAACATCATATACAGTAACGGACCTAGAGAATTGCATGAGAGGGGGAGGCCTTGAACAACAATAATATACAATGGGGTATCATCAGAAATTGAGTGGGTGCATTTTTAAGATTTTCACAAAATTATATGTAATTTGTAAAAAAATAAAAAATAAAAATTGTGGGGGCGGCTGTCCCCCCACTGAGGCCTTAATAGGTCCATTCCTGATCATATACCCTTTCCTATATAATTATAAACTAAAAAATTAGAGATAAAAAAAGGTAAATTGGATGGTGAAACAGTTTAAAAGCCAACTATCAACATTGTTCAAAAGACAGTTTTTGTGTATTCCTATATATTCAGTCTCTCTCTCATTCTATACTTATATTTCTTTTGCTACATGAGTATCCTTTATTTTTCTAGCATAAGATTGGGCAATGGATGTTATCCAATTACCTTGTCTCCTTACATTTATAGTATGTCTAATCTTTTCAGACCAACTAAACTGTTAACCAGCTCGTCTAACGTTTTTGGATTAAAAAATTAATAAAACAAGGATTAGGAATGTAGAAAAGAAAAGAAAATAAAAAAAGGGTGTTCGGACCACCAAAATAAAGAAATTGGTTTCTTGAGACACTAAACTAACCATAACATTAAGAATGTAGAAAATAAAAAAAAAATCGGTGTCTTATGATATGTACTTGAGGATGAAATTAAATCATGGATCTTGAGTACCCAAAATTGTGTTGGAAACATTGAATTTCTTGTGAACCAGGTTTTGATGATTCTTTGTAAATCCTTGCTTGGCGTATTGTCACGCCCCGCCTATGGAGGTTGTGCCACGCAGGCGACACGCAGACGCTGAGGAGGATGCTGCATGGCAACTGCATGGCAAGTGGAGTTTCTAGAGTCTTCCGGAGTAGTCTAGAGTTGTGTGGAAGATTCTAGATATGTGTAGAAATATGTAGAAGTGTGTGGAAGGTTCTAGAGTTCTCCAGAGTTGTGTGGAGTAGTATGGAGAGTTCTAGAATGTTGTTGATATTTATGGATAAGTATGGAAGTGTGAAGAAGGTGGGAGAAGATTCTAGAGAATCGATCTCCACCATCGGTTAAAATGCATCCTAGCCGTCCATTGGGCATGGGGATGCCTATAAATAGAGGTAGGACTTCATTTTGTGGACAACAAGTCCTAGAGTGAGTCTTGAGAGTCTTGTAGAGAGCTTGAGTGCTAGCCTTGTACAAAGCATTCTTTGAAGTAATAGAAGTGTTCTTTCCTTGCCAACTTAAGTGTCTTAGTGTGTGTGAGTGTGCAAGCCAAGTGAGGAGAGGGCGAGTGCAACTACAACACTAGTAAGCGCACGAGGGGAGTGTGTTGGCTAAGGTGTGCACGGGAATTAGGCTGACCAAGTACTTGCGAGAGTGGAAGCAACATCTTGGTGCCGCATGGGAGCAGCTAGAGTGGTGCTGAAACTCTAAGCCCGTGACAGTTGGTATCAGAGCAGGACTTGGGGTAAAGCACGGTGGGGTGCCCCCTTGTCGGTCCGGGAGGGGTTAGAGAATGAAGACGGTGCATTGAAGTTGCGTCGATGAGGAGGAATCAATGCAGTTGGGGGAGAGAGCCTCCATCTCCCCAGGAAGAAGCGTCCGTTGAAGTAGCGCATTGAAGGGCCGGAGGGCCGCGCGCACCAAAGTTCGTGCTTAGTCCTTGGGTGATGCAAACCATGGTGAAGGGCGAGCATCAAGTCGGCAGAAGGCCATTGCTTGCTCGGGATGTCGCGGAGGCGGCATGACGGAGAAGAGTCACGTCCTTGAGGAGTGGACGTCCCCTTGGTCCGAGGCCTATCATTGGGCGAGTGCAGTGCAGGGAGCTGCACAAGGAAGCGATGGTGGGAAGGCGAGCATACCGTATGGAGGCAGACTTTGGAAGGGAGTGGACGCAGTAGTGAAGCGCCGCACTGCGACGAGGACGTCGCAGGATTTGGGTGGGGGAGAATGTCACGAAGTGATTCCTAAGACGCTTGGAGGATGGAAGACACGCATGCTGGTTGGCAAAGAGCAGAGTTTGACTGGGAATGGTTCCAGGGAAGGGGCGTGCAGGAGCACAGGATGGTACCTCTTCAGAGTTCAGGCAGGTCGACTCGGTTCAGTTCGAGGTGCTTGTCGCTGGTCTTGGACTTGACTATGAAGAAGGGAGTTGGCCATCCCTGCACAAACTGGTCGGGAGCTGGAGCCGTTCCCCTGACGAGGCCATGGCAGGCCGAAACCAGTCAGCATGTATCCTTGGGAGGGCAGGTCGTGGTGGCTGACCAGGGCGCTTGCGCGAGCTGAAGCAACGCCTTGGTGCCGCACGGGCCGTGCCGCTGCGCTAAATCTCTAGGCCCGTGACAAATGGTATCAGAGCCAGGTTCGTCAAGGGAGCTTTGTTGGAGTAGACATGGCTAGCGGAGGAGACCACCAAGTCCACATCTTAGAGCAGAGCTTGGAGGAGAAGCTTGCCACACACTTGGTCTACACAGAGACCAAGTTTAACAGGCTCGAGAGAAAGATGGCGGAACTCTACGAGCTGATTGACGGCATTGCCAACAAGGCGCGAGAGAAGGAAAGGGACTTGTATGATCAGGTAGACGACTTGCGCATGGAGATTGCCGAGTGTAAGAAGAAGTTCTCCCAGGCGTGCGAGGTCGTGGTGAAGCCAAGGAAGAAGAAGGCGTCGGAGCCCAAGGAGTACGATGGGGCAAGGAATGCGCGCCAGATTGACAACTTCTTCTGGCACATGGAGCGGTACTTCGAGTACATGGAGATCGAGGATGATGAGGAGAAGGTGCAGACAGGCACTATGTACCTCACGGACACTGCCGCTCTATGGTGGAGGCAGCGCTTCACCGGTAGGGGCGCAAGAGCAGTTGATACATGGGAGGAGTTCAAGAGGCAGCTCAAGAGGCAGTTCTACCCTGAGTGCATTGAGGACCTCGCCATGATCAACCTAAGGCGCCTGAAGCAGAAGGGCAGCATAAGGGAGTATGTGAAGGAGTACTCCAACTTGATGCTGGAGATCCCAGAGATGCCGGAGCGGCAACGTGTGTGCTTGTTCATTGATGGGCTGCAGTCTTGGGTGGCCACGGAGCTAAGGAGGAGGGAGCCTAGAGACTTGGCATCCGCAATGGCTATAGCGGAGCGCCTCGAAGACTTTAGGCGCGATGACAAGAGGGCCACGTCTCCCAGGAGGGACCACGGCAAAGGTGGGGGAGACCGGCGCTTCAAGAAACGGGGCTCGCCCAAGTCTAGTGATGATGAGCACAGCGATGAGGAGAGACGCCCACGCCATGATAAAGGCAAGGACCATGGAGAGAGGTCTAAGGCTAGTGGCAAAGGGGAGCGCCGCGATAAGGGCAAGTGGGAGCCGAAGTGCTACTTGTGCGAAGGGCCGCACATATTGCGACACTGCCCCAACAAGAAGACCATGAGCGCCCTTGTGAAGGATAAGGGCAAGGGCAGGGTGGACGATGCGGGCAGCGATGAAGATAGGTGCATGGGGGCTATGCAGATGCTGAGTAGCATGTCGCATGACACCAAGAAGAAGGGCAAGGCAAAGAAGGTAGCTGGGGTGCGCTATGTGGATGCGCAGGTTGGTGGCAAAGCCGTGCAAGCGTTGGTAGACACGGGTGCTACACACAACTTCATTACCCCGGAGGAGGCGCAATGACTTGGCTTGGAGATGCGCAAGACGGAGGGCTGGATCAAGGCCGTCAACTCCAAGGAGGCACGCGTGAGTAGAGTGTGCAAGGAGGTGGAGCTATGCATGCAAGGATGGAAGGGCAAGGCTGACTTCCAAGTTGCAGAGATGGACGACCACGACATGGTGCTGGGGCTGGAGTTCATGGACAAGAACAACGCCGCGCCACTACCATGCCTTGGTGCGTTGATGATACTTGGAGGCGAGGAAGGCAAGGCCGCATGTATGGTGCCGCTCGTGGGCAGGAAGGAGAGTCCAGAGGTGGCAGTCAACACGATGGAGCTCGTGAGGACTTCACATCTCCCGAAGGGCGCTCGTACGTTTGGGCCAAGGACATATGCGCAAGTGCTGATGACCTGCGAGAGGCTGGGTCAGCTGAAGAAACCGTGACGAGGGCGTCACGGAAATGGGTGGGGGAGAATGTCACGCCCCGCCTATGGAGGTTGTGCCACGCAGGCGACACGCAGACGCTGAGGAGGATGCTGCATGGCAACTGCATGGCAAGTGGAGTTTCTAGAGTCTTCCGGAGTAGTCTAGAGTTGTGTGGAAGATTCTAGATATGTGTAGAAATATGTAGAAGTGTGTGGAAGGTTCTAGAGTTCTCCAGAGTTGTGTGGAGTAGTATGGAGAGTTCTAGAATGTTGTTGATATTTATGGATAAGTATGGAAGTGTGAAGAAGGTGGGAGAAGATTCTAGAGAATCGATCTCCACCATCGGTTAAAATGCATCCTAGCCGTCCATTGGGGATGGGGATGCCTATAAATAGAGGTAGGACTTCATTTTGTGGACAACAAGTCCTAGAGTGAGTCTTGAGAGTCTTGTAGAGAGCTTGAGTGCTAGCCTTGTACAAAGCATTCTTTGAAGTAATAGAAGTGTTCTTTCCTTGCCAACTTAAGTATCTTAGTGTGTGTGAGTGTGCAAGCCAAGTGAGGAGAGGGCGAGTGCAACTACAACACTAGTAAGCGCACGAGGGGAGTGTGTTGGCTAAGGTGTGCACGGGAATTAGGCTGACCAAGTACTTGCGAGAGTGGAAGCAACATCTTGGTGCCGCACGGGAGCAGCTAGAGTGGTGCTGAAACTCTAAGCCCGTGACAGTATGGTTGTAAAATATATTCAAACGGTTATAATACCATTAATATATGAGGAAAGAGAAGTTGATTTAGCTATGATTCATAACCAAACACATTCTTGGTGGGACCATTCCAAACTTTTCTATTGTCGGGAATGTTGAGACCTACACTGGAAATTGCAATTGGATGATTGTAATCATCTAGCCGTGCTACTTACTTGATTTCCACTTCTGGATGTTTCCACTTAATGACTGGTTGTAGTCCCTATACGTATCTCACTGGTGCACCAGTGAGCTGATTTTGGGGATTCTTTGAACTGTGCAGGAGTTGCCAACAAGCTTGCCATCAATTTCATTCAAGGGTAGGACAGTAGTGGATAATAAGAATTTTGTATTCCTTGGAGATCCAGTTTCAAGATTGTGGACAGTTCTATACCATTAGGAATATGGTTTCAAAGTTCTGGAAAGTGGGTGGGAAGGATTTAGCAAAGCGAACAACCTTCAACCAGGATATCAATGTGTTTGCATTTTCAGGAAGTAAGATGAATTTCAAACCCTTTAAGTTCCTACAGCGACGAGATTGGGTGTGTGGGGAGCACAAACAAGCAGAGCTACAGCCACAACACCATCCTCCAATCAAAGCTGCAAGAACTCAGGAAACAGTTTCCTCGTGCTGTTATCATCTATGCTGATTACTGGAACGTCTACCAAACAATCATGGAGAATCCAATAAAAGTTTGTTTCAATGAGCTCTTCAAAGCTTGCTGTGTATCTGGTGGTGGGCCGTACAATTTTGATGTGTGTGCTGCCTGTGGTTCTCCATCCTCGAGCTCCCGCCAGAACCTTCCCAGCACAACAATTAGGATGGAGTTCATCTCACAGCAGCAATGCACAACTTTGTAAACTAGGGAAAAAAAAAAATGTACAACTTTGTTTCTGACTCACTTCTCAATGGAACATTCAGTCACCCTCCATTCAGTTACTTGTTAAGCAGGAAACATAAATCAGGATGAACTGATTACCGTCATATTAGATATGTAGTGTTAGTAGTTGCTGGAAAAATGTAGCGACAAAGTTGATATGTATAAATTATAAACTATTTAGTAGAAGGTCTTATTGATTTTCTCATATATAAAAGAATTAGAACATTCATGAATTTTTATTTATTTTTTTATTTTTTTAAATCTTAGCAAATTAGGTAGGGAGCTTCAAACATGGGCATACCTACTTGGGAAACTGTTCTACTAATTAGGCTATTGGGTAATGCTCGAACATTTAGCAACTCGGTTATCTGAAAAGAATATCAAGGCTATACTTGAATGGCCTGCATCTATTATGATTACACAATTGAGATCATTCTTTGGATTGTCCATTTTTGGAACATTTGTCTATACAACACTTCGACGGTCTCATAAATCTGAAGGTTCCTGATCTAACACTAACATTGAAGTGCTTGGAGATACTTTATTGCTTCAATGTGGAAAGTATTGAGATTTCTACAATGAATCTCCTATCATTTAAGTATTTCGGACCAAAAATAAACTTTCAATTTAAGAATGTCAAGCCCCCTTGATTTGTATATTGGGGTGACTATTGCAAATATCTAATATATAAGTTTTTGGATATAATTAAAAAATGTTATCAAAGAAATTTTTTTATTGTTTTATTTATTTATTTATTTATTAACCGCATTAAATTCATGTAGCACACTTTAAATCTAGGGTATAGGCTGTTGTTGGGAATCTAACTTCTTAAGAAGATGACTTTTAGTAATTTGTTATCATATTGACAGTGAATGAATTATCAAATTTATCCATGGTGGGTCCATAGTGATGTGATGTATACCTTTTATAATTTCAATGTAAGAAAGTTAAAATAGAAATGTGAAAAAAAAAAAAAAAAAAAAAATGAAAATCTGGAACATTTTTTTTTTTTTTTTGAGACAGAAGGAGTATGTTTTAAAATATTATTTGGCCATTTGAGTTACTTTACCGACTTCTAATAATATTGTAAAGACTAGATATGTTTACAAAATTTGAAATAACCTATTTATTATTTATAGTTTCATTGATGAAGTTTTTATTTGGGTTAATTAAACTTTATGCCTTCTGTTTTTTATTTGGGTTAATTACAATAACACCCCCTGAGAAGGTTTATCATATTGACAGTCATATATAAGTTGGGCCTTTTTTGAACAATAACACTCCTCAAGTTTGAAAAAGTTAACAAATACACCCCAATGGTCACTTGCCACCTCTGACATGTAATGAATTGACATTGTTGTCCTTTGACTTATAAATTGACCAATTTAAATAATGAAATTACCTTGTTATCCTTGTATAATATTTATAAAAATAAAAAATCCAATCCCAATACCATCTATTACCAGTCATACAGTGGCTACTCTATCACCACTGTGAAGCTCTCTCACCCAAAATTACCACTTCAATTAATCAAAACTGGAATCTTCAACACACACACACACACACACACACCAAACCTTCAACATACATACATATAATGGTGGCCATTGCCGTCGGCGCCGACTCCACCACCGTTAAGCCTTCTCACCCAAATCACCACCACTTGTCCAACACCCGAATCTTCAACACACACACACACACACACACACACACATACCTCCAAGATCGAAACGGTGGCCACAACGGCGGTGCTGACTCCACCACATCCTTCACCATTAAGCTCGAGAAAGATCCGAAGAAGCGCATGGTCATCACAAAGATGTGCCCAACATCGATGCCGTGGCCAGATCCGAGGTTTCAATGGCGACGGCTTTCTTAGTGGTGATGGCGGCAACGATGGTAAAGGATTTAAGCGCAGAGAGGTCTAGGGATTTGGTGGTGGGTTTGAGGGAGAGGCCGTGGGTTTGATTAGGGTTAGGGTTTGAGAGGCCATTGTTGTTATTCGTTGCCTTTGTTTTTTCTACTGGGTGATAAGCAACTTGAAGTAGAAAAGCCTTTGTATTTGAGTTGGGTTAATCAAGTCTTGAACTCGTACAATGGTCCAAGTTTAGATCAATTCAGAGTTCAATTTGATCTTGATGACAGTAGTAAATTTGATATTGACAACTAGGTTAATTTTGCAATAGAAAAGAGAGTTAAAAGACTTGAGTTACACTTTTATGAAAGTGGGGAAATCAAGGAGCGTTACAATTTTCCTGACACGGACCGAATTACAAATCACCTGCATTCATTGTCCCTTGGGTTTACTAGGTTCAACTCGCTGACCAATCTCCTGCTCACAGACGTGAAGGTAACTGGACAAGCTCTTGAGGACTTCTTAACTAACTGCCCATTTTTGGAGCAATTGTCTATGAAAAAATCCGAATGTCTGGTAAATCTGAAAGTTCCATATCACTCACTCAATTTGAAGCGCTTGGAGATAATTTACTGCTTCAACGTGGAAAGTACTGAAATTTCAGCTATGAATCTAGTGTCATTTAAGTATTTTGGACCAAAAATAAGCCAGCCATTTAAGATGGTCAAGCAGCTTGTTGAACTGTTTATTGGGGGTGAGTACTGCAATTATCTAATTAATAACAACTTTTTCGATATTTCAAGCCATCTTGCTCAGCTAGAGAGCCTTACGTTGCACATGACCTCCATTGAGGTTAGTTAGTTTAACTAATTATTTTTTATCTCCTCCCCTTAATTTTTATTTTATTCATTTTTTAACATAATTATCAATTTGTGCTGATTTACTACTTTTTCTTTGGTTTATTCAAAATAATATCGAGTTTGCTAAATTTTCGGTTTTTAATAAGCTCAAGCAACTAGAGTCGATAATTATTAGAGTAAGTGATCATCAAAGTCTTCTTGTTTTTGCTCCCATGATAGAGGCGTGCCCTTTCTTGAGTAAATTTGTGTTACAGGTAATAAGTCTTACTTTACATCGCACATTTCAAAAAATTGTGAGGTTTTTTGCTTTTGAAATTGAATTTTGAATTGTAAACATTGATTCATTTGTACTTCGGCTTAAAAGATTTCAATTTTCCTAAGTACTTGCTTCTTTATTGCTATTACAAATTATAATTTTACCAAAAATAGGAAAAATGCTCTTACAATGTTTAGCTTGCTCTATTATCCTGATTGATCAATAATTTTGTTAATTTATTATTTATTGCCCAAGAGTTTTACATTGTCGTGCTTGCTTTATTCTAATGATTGTTCAATTACCTTAGGACCCTTTTCAAAACAGCGTGAATTCATCTCTAACACTGTATTCTCTCTTCTTCTTTACTTTTATCATTTTGTGTCTTTGTAAGACATGGAATACTAATGTAATCATGTTGTCATTCCTAAGCAATTAAACTTTTCTTGATTTTATTTCTTAAATGCTTGATGAATTTTATTGTTGCTAAGACAAAATATTTGATTGTTGAATCATATATATATAACACAGAATATGTTCAATCTCAATGCAGCCTGTGGAACGTTTCGTTTTGGCTATTCTATTCAGTCAATGCCATGATTCTAACTTGTCCTGAGTTACGATTTGATGCTTTGTATTTTGGTTTTGTTTGCTAATGATCTACTTTAAGTGTATATGTCACTGTATGACTCCATTCCTCCTTGTTACAGTTGGAATCATACAAGCAAGATCTGAAAAAAATACGACGAAGTTTTGCGTCTCGGCCCCATCAGTATCTTAAGGTGGTGGAATTAATTGGGTTTGTTGGGCGTACAAATGATGTTGAGCTTGCTATGTATTTAATCAAGAACACCGTCATGTTTGAGAAGATTACTTTTGATTCTCGCAAACCGAATCTAATAGGAACTCCATGGGAGTTCAGGGAGACCAAGGAGAAGAAAATAGCAAGAAAGCGTGCTGAGAACTTCCGAACCAAACTTCTTGCTGGAGCAGCTTTAGTAATCCTATAATTCTTTGATGTAACTTCAATTTTTTTCAGTCATTCCAATATAAAAATCTAATCTTCAATTTTCCCTCTCTATATGTATAACTTCAATTTTTTTTAGAGAGAGAGAAAAAGAAAAGAAAAATATAACTCTTATGTATATCTCCATAACACTAACCTGTTGTGCATCATATTGGGATAGACTGAAAAAAAACTAATGATAACTTCAATTTTTTTTCAGTCATCCCAATATAAATATATAATACATGAATATAGGGTTCAGCAGCAACGAATTAATCAAATTAAATCATTCGAACTTTGTTGTAGTGAAGCTTAGATTCATTTAGATCGTTCATGTTCTGAGGTATTTGTCCCTTCATTGTTTTTGAGAGGACACCCCTAGGGAACAAATGCCTACAAGCTACCTGTTAGACGGTAGCAATTCACTTGGAACTTTCATGTTTAAAGGTATATATTTGTCCCTTCATTCTTTTTGATAGACACAAAGGTACTATAAGGGACGCATACTGAAACCCATGTCATGCCCGACATGGGTATTTCACAAACACGGGGGATGGTTCGCCATTGGGATTTGGATCAGAGAATGACGAGATTATCTAATGAAAAAGTCAGCAAATTTAAGAAACTACTGGCCCTTCCAGCTAATTGAATCAGAGTAGCATTTTTAATACCTCAAACATAATGCCATCTAAGGTGATGGCATTACTGGCCTCCTCAAAAGATCTCATCTCCTTCTCATACCTTGACAACAGAGTCCCCTGAATCTTACAAGAGAGAAAGACCTAGGAGTTAGCTATGTCTCCTTAAAGAGGCAACTATAATCGGTGCGAAGCTACAAAGGCAAGTAGTTTATAGATATTTTAATCCTGGTGAGAAGCAAATTAGGCAAGGCAAGTAGTTTATAGATATTTTAATCCTGAGAATTAGGGCAAAGCACAACCCTAATTGAAACAATCGGTGACTCCTGATGAACGACGGCAGGTACATTCCATTCAAGGATTAGACGTTTTGCCACGAAGAGAGTCTCGCACCTGCCGAGTAAGTAGCTTTTGCCTAATCAAATCTGTGATCTGTCTGAACATCACCGATTATAATTGCCTTTGCCTAATCAAGTCTATGAAATTGAGGACGAGAGATCCATTTACTTGGTAGTTACTATATATTTTTTAATTTTGTCTATTATGTGTCTATTATATTCCCTCCTTCCCAATACAAGTGTCACTTACGGGGGTAGTAATTTTTAAGGGAACATGTGGGATATACATTGTCTGTCTGAAAAATTACTAGCTTATCCTTTTAAGTTTAGAATATTTAAGTTTGAAATTTAAATTCAAAGGACATTTTTGGAATGATGTGAAATATATTGTTTGAAAAAGGAAAATGAACACTTATTGTAGGACAGACAAAAAAGAAAAGTATGACACTTATTTTGGGACGGAGAAAATATTAGAAACAAGTAATGGTCTGATAATAATTATTTTTTAATGGGGCAAACATGTGTCACTTTAGTTTATCTTAAAAAAAAAAAAAAATTGTTATTTTTTTTTTATATGGAAATAAATTTGAATTACAAACACTTTTCTTTTAAAGCTGTAACCTCCAAAATTTGACACGTGTCAACTCAAAATGAATTCCGCTGGCCAAAAGTATTGACTTCTTGACTGATAGGATAGTGATTAGACAATCATCGCAAAATTTAGGTGTCTACAAACCCTATACACGAATTTCCGCCAAGTTTGAATGACAATACTGTTTGGCTAACAATGTATTATTGAAACAATTTATCTATCTGAAGTCTGAATCCTATCCAGGCACGAACCCAGCAGGTGACCAGGGGGGGCAGATGCCCCCCCTGGATTTTTAATATTTTCATTTTATACCTTAATTTTTTAAAATTTTATGAAAATGCCCCCCCTAAAATTACAATTCGCCCCACTGGATTCTTTTTTTTTAGCATTTTATACATCAAATTTTGATAATTTATGAAGATGCCCCCACTATAATTATAATTTGCAACACTGATTTTTTTTTTTTTTTTTTTTTTTTCATTTTATACTTTAAAAGTTTTAAAATTTATTAAAAAAAACCCTATTAAAATTACAAAAATGAACCCATCATATAATTTTGTACCCACAAATTAAAAGGCCGCCACCCCTCACAAAATTTTCTGGGTCCGTCACTGACCCTATCCCACCCTTCAGTACTTTTGATAAACATATCTTTCCCAAGCCACCCAACTCACTTCGGAGTAAAGTCTGTAAAGAGATGTCTATTTGTCACAAACATGATCAGGAAGTTTAAAACATCACAAAATTATTTATAAGCCAAAAGTATTCGATTATTTATTAAATGCATATAAAAATATATCTAGCCAAATTTTGGTATATTCGTTCATAAAAATCGACATTGTCAATAGTGACATAGATATGTATAAAAATAAATATAAAGCGTCAAATATCAACTTAAAAAAGAAAAAAAAAAAAAAAGAAAAAAGAGAAAAAAAAAGGGTACTTAGAGACTTTTGGTATGTTCTCCTATCATATGGTAAATTTAATATTATGCTATATATATTATTTATATTAGTGTTGGGCTTAAGAAACTAAAATATTTATTCTTTTGAGTTTAAACTAACTACAGGCCCAATAGACTAATAGTCTGAATTTTTAGTGGGGCCAAGTTTGGGCTCAACTAACTTTTTAGTCTTCTTGGGTTATATATATAAGGGTAATTTATACAAACCTCCTCTATGATTTGCCATAATTACAGGCGGCATCTTTTCTGTTCCGAAAATTACGCGAACCTCCTTTACTTTTTAAAATATCCTACACGGGTCTCCCTTCCATTACGGTCAACGCCAGTCAATGACGAAAAATGATGACATCAGCTACTATTTTTTATGAAATGTTGAAAATACCCTTGCCTATATTATTTCATATTATATATATATATATATATATATATATATATATATATAAGATTAGAATTCCTCACTTTCTCTCTCTAAATTATTCAACCGGCGACCAGATTGCAGATCTTTCGAGTTGAATCTCAACAGATCAAGTTCTGTGAATCCATGGTAGGCTTGTTATGTATATTTTATTTCCCTGTTCATTTTTCAAAAAAAAAATTCTCGGATCAAGCAAGTCTTGATCGATTTGTTATTTGAGTTATCATTCCATTAAAGCATTGTGAGAAAGAATTGTTCTGTGTTAGCTCTCGCCCATGAAAGATTGGGACTTTTCTTTGTGAAATTCTCCAACTATTTGTTCAATTCTTAGGTTGTGTAGTATCAGTTTCACTGGATTGGTCTGAGTTTTCAATTTTTTTCTTCCAATCACAACTTTCAACTTCTGGGTTTTTTCGTTCATCCATTCTCTGGTTGAGATTGGTGTCATCCTTTTCGGAATCGAATCATCTTGGTTTTGTTATGTTATTATTCTGATAAAATCTCAAGAGACTGATAAAATCTTAATAACCGGATCATATTTTCCGGCGAGAATGCATACGTGTTCAGCCTGTAATCAAAAGTATGATCTTACCAAGCAAATAGCACAGGTGAGATTATATTCTAATTTCACAGAATCCGGAAGCCTCAGAGTCAACACAGGCTCTGTGGCGCTCAGATCACAAAAGAATGGACTGGAAATTCAATCAGACCCTCCACCATATGATTCATTGAAATTCATATAGAAAGCTCCTAGTTCTATTAACCAAGGTGATTGCAGAATCTCTATGTGTTCAGCCTGCATCTTGGACTTAAAGTTCCTCCCATTGACAGAGCTATGGACCTAAAAGGGAAGAAAAATATATATAAATAAAATGAACCTCTTTCAGCATAATGAAATCCTAAATACTGGTTAAATCCAATTGGGGCAAACCCATTTTATGCTTACTTTATCATATTTCTTAAGAATTTTTTGTATAGCAATAGCATTCATAATAACATATTCAATCAACATCTGACCCTCTTATACCATGGCTTGCTGATTGTTTGCGAAACACTGCCGTAAGCGCAACAAGTATCTCTGCACTCCAGAAGCAACATGAGGATGGAGAAGATGTCTAACTCTTGAACTGATATATAGGGTACTTCAGTTATTTACCATAAAAAATTAAGGGCATTTCAGTAAATTAGCCAGATCCGTTAGTATACTTGACGGTCTGTCACAGATAAAGGAGGTCTGTGTAGGATATTTTAAAAAGTAGGAAAGGTGCGTGTAATTTCCGGAACAGGAAGGGTGCCGCCTGTAATTATAGCAAACCATAGGGGAGGTCTGTGTAAATTACCCTATATATAAAGATAGCTTTGCTTCTAATTTCTTTCTGTTTTTTCTTTTGCTTTTATATATGTATGAAAATAAACTCTCACTGCATATTTTTAATTGGCTATGTTTTGAACATGTGTTTTACTTTGTTCTATTATTTCTTTGATTCTATGAATGGTTCTTCTCTCTCTCTCTCTTCTTCTTCTTCTTCTTCATCAGATAAATGTTTTTTCAATGAACTTGCTTCTAATTTTTATTTTCTTTAACCATTTTAATTTGTTTTTATCCCTAAAAAAATGTTTGCAAATGTTCGTGAAAAAATATGTCAAATGGATTCAAACACATCTTAAATGGATCAAAATTGCAATATACACCTTTTTATTTTATCTGAATCCTCGAATAAATCACGTGTAATAATAAATCATATTGTTGGACCACATCGGTTCTCATTTTAGATTCGATCTTTTCAGGTAAAATCCAAATTTTGATCGTCTTTTACTTCTCGGATCTATATATATATATATATATATAAATCCTTGCAAAATATGAGTTAGTCAATTGACACATTCTGTGCAAAACTTTTGTGATGGTTTTTTCTTCTCTGAGTTTTGATACAGTGGTCTTCTTTTATGGATCTGAAATATATTATACTTCCTTCTAGACTGTAATTTGTTTTTTCAATTCGAACTTCTGTAATTTGTTTTTTCAATTCGATATCTTTTTTGGATTTGCCTATTGC